CGCTCGCAGCATAAACATCTTTGCCAGGTGAGAAATATTGGACTTTGAATTGATAATCTCATTTTTGATACGGACTCCATTGGTTTTCTTCATTATTTTTCCAGCCTTTTGTTTTTCAGCATTCTGTGTACTAATTTTTTCACTAGATTGAATATTTCTTCCAAAAAATTGCATTTTTGTAATTTATAGAAGCTATTTCTACGACGAACATGCTTTATCTTGAGTTGGCCTATTGTATCCAAACAGTCTAGAAGTCGTTCAAGTTTGTATGCGTCGTGATATTTGTACCCTCTTTGCCTGGTTTATCGCTTCCAACTCTACTTGCAAACTGTCTGAAGTGATTTTGCATCAGAAAAGGCAGAGATGTTGAATTTCTTGTGATTGAAATTTTTATAGAAAAGGGAAGCAAGCTGAAGCTTATGCACGGTACATCCCTCCTTATTCGCGTTTGACCCATCTTTTTTTGTATTTTAGTCTTTGTGACTTTGTGATTGTGGTGGTGGTGGCATGATATCGTGAACATTGTGGTTTAGTTAGATCGATGCGAGGAATCTGTGCTCATCGATGCAGATATAAAAATGGAATGGGACTGCAACCGAGCAGATCGGGCTATAACGCAAGGAACATGAGCTCCAGCTTCTCTCTGTGCACCTGAATGACCTCAGTTACTGCAGCATGTGCACTGCCTCTATTTATCAGCGTTTCTACACACCTCGTCTTGAAACTGTTGATTTTGTGTAAATTTATAAAAATTCCTATCGAACTTTGATAGAGATATGCTTCTACACCTCATTAATGTTTTAAATTAAAATTAGTGGCATATTTTTCTACTTGCATGTCAATGATAGACTTCGTCTCTTTCAATCATAACAAGCGCCTATAGCGCTTTATAGAAGGTATTAAATACTAAAACATTAGAAGTAACATGATATAAATATCTCTTTTTTTATATAGTTTTTTTGGGGCTGTGATTTGTAACAATTCATTCCCTGTTTCATCTTTTTTGTCATCAGTTTGCGAGCTTTAGCTTCAGGTTTTTCGTATCTGGTCTCTCCGTCTCTTAATCATTTTAAAGTACGAGTATATTGTGAGGAGATGAAATAAAGCAGTCTTGAAACGAGTACTTATATTGTTTCCCCAAAAATTGTTTTCAAGAAACTACTTCTAAGATTATTTTTCAGATTATCCATAATGGATAAGTTTCTATTAGCTCATTGGTAATTGTTACCCTATCAGCGGAAAATTCTTCCAGGCATGCGGAAAGTTCTATTCCTCCGAGTGGAATCTAGAACGTCATCGACGAGAATCATGTCCCGTGAAAGGCAAATCTTCACCTGCCCCGAAAGAACCGTGAGTCGATATTTTGCGCTTAAAGAGTGCTGTTTTCGCTTTAATGTTCCTTACTAAAACCCTTCGAAATTAGATTTTCCATTTTTCGTGTTCCCTCGCTCTTAATCTGGCGGAGTGCCAAAGATCGATTTGATAGTGCTAAAGTCCATGATGTAAACACGTGTCTGTGATATGTTTACTTCTACTGGCTTCCTTTGTCTCGGACACATCGCACGTTTTAATATTTATGTCCTTGTACTAAATTGTTTAAACATCAAGATATTCTAATGACCGTGGTCTATGAATCCTCACTTTGAGAATAAAAGAAAGATCTAAACTTATGTTCATGGCTTTGGCATGGTTTTTCAGCGCAAAATCAAAGATCAGTTCTCAGAGGTCCACAACTTTTTTCTTGAGCTGAGTCGGAAATCGGACAAATTATCATCACACATTAAAGTTTGATAATCGTTGGAATTAGTTTCTTTCTAATTCAAGTATCTATTTTACATTAAGTCATTATTCACATTTTTTGCTCTACAGAGTCGAAAATGTGGCAAACGATGAAGCAAGCGTTCAAGTTGGACATACGCTATTCCTTTTGTCGAGATCGGCCCTCTCACGAGCTTCAGCGTATTTTGCGCAGCTGTTTGCCATGCATGATCCAGCTAAGGGAGAATTACGTCTTGAACTCGATCCATCACATTTCCAGTCGCTCCTCGATGTGTACAATAACCCAAATAATCTAAGTCGTGAGTAGTGTCTATGTTTTTTATAACTTATTTTTCAAATCAGTGATTTTGTTGCAGAGTATAACATCGATGCAGTGGTAGTCTTGGCTAATCGACTGAAATTCAGCACTGTTTTTGACAGCTGCGAACGTTATATCGCTGAGCAGGTTGGCTTTTCTCAGATCACATCGCATATGCATTTCTCCAGTTTTTCTTTCCTAAAAATTCCCTTTCAGCTGCCGCAAATCTCGGTCATGCATGCGATACGTTTGGCTGAACAGCTGA